GTTTGGGTTAGATGGAAGCTCTGGAGGTCATCTTGTACAAGCCCTCTGCTCAAGCAGGGTCAAATTCCCAGCCATTGTTTTGAGCAAGAGAAATAGTATTGCAAAAAAATTACTACCAACACTACTACTTTCCTCTGCTGAGGAAAAAAAAGAAACTGAATTTCTTGTAAAGAGATGTAAAAGCTAGACAGATCTAGAATAGAAAGGTTTTAAATATGAAAACACTATAAATTTTCCTTTTCCACTCATTGTGCTGTAACAACTCCAACTGCTTTGGTACATTTACTCAGATCCTGGTCAAATGCAAAAAACAAAGTGAATGTGATAATTTACCATTTGGAGAAAAGGAAAAAAAAAGCTGGAAAGAGGACAGAAAAAAGATAGGTCAAGATAGAGGCAGTTTAATACAGCAAAAGTGAAGGTCATGTTTGAAAGCAAAGTAAAGCAAAAGATTTACACTTCACTTCCCATCAGCAGGCAACGCCCAGCTGCTTCTCCAGAAAGAGAGCTTCAGTGCAGGTAGTAGTTGCTCCAGAAGACAAAAGTGATAAGTAACAAATTCACACACACACACTTCCTCCTCCTTTCTCTTAGCTTTTATTGCTGAGCAGACACCATATGGTATGGAATATCCATTTGGTCAGTTTGGGTCAGCTGTCCTGGCTGTGTCCACTCCCAAGATCTTGTCCACACCCAAGCTAATGATGGGGGTGAGGATGTTGGAGAAACAGCTCAGATGATGTGTGAGCTCTGTCCAGCAGTAGCCAGGTGTTTTATCAGCACCTTTCTAGCTATCAAGGCAAAGCACGGCAGTGTGAGGGCTGCTATAGGGAAAATTAAGTCCATCTTAGCAAGATCCAATACATACTCGCATGTTTCCTTTGCTTTTCTGTGTCCAGAAGCCACTCTAGTATAAGCAGGTATCAGCAACATAAAAGTATTATACTCCTCTGAACATCATCAGCTTTGTTTTAAGTGAAAGTCAAATGTTTTAAGAAGTTGAGGGAGATAATATTTAAAATACAAAATGGATTTTTTTTTGTTTGTTTTGTAAGTTTATTTTCTGATTTCTTTAAAAATGATTGACCACATCAGAAATCAAATTTCCAGAATTTCCATTTTTCCTGCACTGCCACTTTTTCCCCTCTGCGTGGCAGTGGAACTTGTTTCCATGAAAAAAAAAAAAATGGGGGTGACAAGCAGTATTGAAAGCTAGCATGTCTAACATTTGAAATTATCACAGTATAGAGATCTACATTTTGAATTAGAAAATCTGCATTTGAACTTGGTAGTGTCCCTTAGACAATACTTATTTGAAGCCTTGAGATGTAGCAATGGCTACAGAATTACAAATATATTTCAAGGTCAACAGTAGGAGAAAAGAATCATATTTTAGCAAGACTTAATATCCATTCATTCTTTACTAAACATTACATGCAGCCATTATAAACACTAGTGGAATAGTAATATATCTTTCAAAGACAAATAACTATACTATAATACAATGATATGTAAAACATTCTAAAGTATAGTTGTTGAGTCTTAGCATTTATGAGATAGAGAAAGCTATTGAAAATACCTATATATATAAGAATGGATAAAATAGTAGCCTTCATATGAACTGGCCTGAGCCCGTGATGTTCTTCTAGATACCATAACAGCCACATTATTTTTTCTTCAGTAAAGATAATTAAATATGTTGTGTTCCATACAGCAACTACAGAAATTGCTTATTACATGTCTTACATACTAATGCTGAACACTGCTCGTGGAAAACACATTCTTAGATGGTTTGGATACTTTTCCAAATGACATTGGAAGGAGGGGTCACTACAGATACACATATGTACTTTTAAATTATGTTGCAGAGAATTATAAGGGTCTTTAACTATTATTAGGGTCTGTGACTGTTTTAATAACTTTTTAAAGGTCTCTCAGTTCCCATTCATCTTCGTATTTCAAGTTGGGAATTCATCAGAAGAGAAGACAAGGAAAACGAGATGCCGAACGAATGCTTTGGTCATTAAATTGTCATTTTTCCATGTATGCCAATATCTACTGCAATGTGTGATAGTAATTTCCCTGAAAGACTTCAAAATCATCCACAGCAAGGACAGTTGCTGACATTTGATAATGTAAATATGTAGAGTGAGGAATATTTTAATATCGTGATGTGTATTATTGTTCATTGTGTTAGCATGTTAGCTACAGACTGGGGTTGTGACTAATCCCTCAGCAAGCAGGTGTCCGTTAATTTCAATCATAGTTCACTAACAAGACTAATTATAAAAAAAATTTAAAAATTAAAAAAGTGAGGAACAAGGAGAGGCAAGGTTAGCATAGTTGTAAACAAAATCATTTGCTATCTCAAGGTACATGGTTTTAAGTCTAATATTTTGTATAGGTGGACAATCTCAGAAAGACCAGCTTGACTAAAATAGCTCATTGAAATATTTCAGCTTTGTGATTTAACGCTTGACAAATGGAACAGACATGATTAGTTTTGGTCTGCAAGTGTAATGTTTGCATCGATTTTCTTTTGCTATGAGGATCACTGCTGAATTTCAAAATGGAAACTACTGTTAATGCTTCATTCCTTCATATTTCCCACCCTCAACCATAATTTCACCATTTGCTTTTTTTAATGAAGAAAAGTGATGAAAAGTAGCAAGCTGTCAGCAGCTATTTTTCCAGCTACAAATCTATGCATGTAACCACATATTTATTATTCATCTGTGCTTGTCTCCCAATCTTTCTTTAAAAATAACTATTTTCTAACTACTTGTAGCTATATTTAACCACTGAACCCTTTAATTACTTACTCTACTGACAAGCAGGGCTCACTCAAATGCTGAGATAATAGTTTTGTACCCGCAAGCTGAATTAAAAGGTAAATGACTGAATCTTTCCATTTTTAATAACTTGCTGGTTTTGAGTAGTATCTGAATGTTCCTGAATGGTAAAGATGTCACACAAATATAGGCATGTGTGTGTGCAGGTATGTATATACATATACACAGAAGTATAATTCATAGTGGAATGGTTGACCAATTATTTTATGTTCAGCCTTTTTTTTCAGCTATGCATCATCATATAAGAGGAGTGCATCTAAACTAAGGTTGGCACCTAAACCCCCTCCTGGTACCCTGAAAGAAACTGTCACCTGCAAAGGACGTGTCACAGGACTTGAAATCCCAATTTAGCATAAGACTGAACACATGCAAACAGTGTTTAACTTTCCTCTTCATCTAAAGAGTAATCCTAAATTTCTTTTCTACAATAGACATTTTCTTTCAGAAGGATAAAATGCTAGGAGATAGGAACCACATAGCACTGATTAGAGATATATAGCCAACAAGCGAACCTGTAATATGGTCAGGAACACTTCCCTAAACCTTCATATCTTTATGTATCTTTTCTTGGTTCTTAAACATAGTATAAGAGTACTTTTGATCTAATCAGCATTATATTATTTGTAAGTGTAAAATACTCAGGATACTATGGAAATAAATGAAGCTGAAAAGCAGGGATACCTATTCTCATCCTGAGTTGCAACTGCATCTGAAAAAAACAGATTCAAGATCCCTGCACCCTCCAAGGGCCATCAAAGCTCACAAGTCCTCTGGACCAGGACGACAGAGAACAAGGGATACCAACCACACAGTCTTCCCTATGCACTTCAGAGCCTCCAGGCTACAAGGAATTCAGGGATCCCTATATTTCAGATACACTTTGTTCCTTATGTCTCACAGGAAGTAGGGACATGCACATGTTCTTACCAACTAAAACACACGTAGATGTTTTTCAGGCACCAAAACCCCAAAACACAACTTTCACCTTTTTTTTTTTAATTGAAGAGGAGATAATTTTCAAAAGAATCACTTTTAATCCAAGTTTTCATGTGATAGAAATGCATTCCACAATAATGTATTATCTATTTACTATTTCTCACTCTCTAGTGAGAAAATTATTATTAATAATAATAATAGTGATTATGCAATGAGAGACAAGAACCTCTATCGTGTGGCTCTGGGGTCTACCAAACTATATGTTTCCTACTTATATAGTAGTAGCAATGATTTTTTAAATAGAACATAGAAAAGTGTACCCTAGCTACAAGATAAAATATGAGAAGCGGCTAAAAATTGTTTTATAGATAAGGAATTAAAACCACAGTTCATTCTGACTTCATTCAACTGTTGAATTCTGTTTGCCATATTTTCTAAAACCATAAGTACCAAATCAGATGTCTTGAAAAAGAATTCCAAAAAGAGAACAGAAAGGGCAAGAAGAAAATATGGTGTTGCCATTTCAATCAGCTGGTAGCTACGAACTTTGCCCAGGGTTGAAGAAGTGGGCTCCAACTACTTTCTTAACAAAGCACGTGCTTCATGAGGATATAGCAAATTTCTGTTCTTTCTGCCCACACCATCCATCTTGATATTAAAAATGGGTTCAAATCTCCTCACACAGAGAACAATCTCTTTCTTTCACCTCAGAAAATATCTTTAGTGGTAATCTTCCTGAGAAAAGGCAATCTTCCAAGTTCAATAGCATTTTGTGAGAAAAGGATGACTGATAACTAACTCCAAGACAATTTTACAGCTGTGAGCCAGAAATGGGCAGGGGTATTTCTGTGAGTTATAAACCATGCCTCAGAGGAGACAAGACTGAAACACATCCTTCAAAATTTCCTACTGATCACTTACAGTATTTTATACTTAGATACAGGTTCATCTTCAAAACTTTATGGTACGTATAAATGTCCAATGAAGTGACTCAGTATTCCATTTATAGTAAGTGCAGAGAGACAGGTTACACTGTACAAGTAGATTAATTTTTGAGTGATCTGATATACTCTCCACAAAACATGTATTTCTTCCCTATCTGCAGAGGAAGCCTACCAAACTAAGAGAATCCTACTTTATATGCCTAATTTAAGCTTCTAAAATACAACGCATATGGATTTTGTTTTGCAAGATTTATGTTTATCTCCTTTCAGTACCTAACTTCCACAAAAATCAGTCAAGTCATTCATGCCTGAGCTCTAGGTTACTTCAGCCAATCTTTTAAACAGAAGTTCTGTTAGAAATAGCCATCATATTCCACTTTCCTGAGACTGCATCCAGCCTGTTAAGTCAAAGATAGAAATGAGGATTAAATCAGGAATTATTTCTAAGTGAGAAATGCCATTAAAAATTGTTAATAATATTAATGATGAATAAGTCAGCCAGTTCTAATAAACATAGTAAAGCAAACTGGTAAAAACTGCCTAGTCATCATGCAATTAAATACAAAACTATTAATGAATTTCAAGTTTTATGCTCCAGATGAGGGAGTCCACCATTAGAGAAAACAGCTAATGACACATTTGCATTGATCTCTAAAGAAATTCTTCTAATTAAGCTTTAAAATTCAGCATAATCAGAGAAAAACCACGTGGGAACCAAGTTTTTGAAAAATAGGTGTTCACAATGTAAGTAGCTAACATATATTAAAATAAAAAATACATAGTTATTTTTGCAATAAGAGACTGCTACTTATATTTTGAACAGACAAGTATCTATTTGTTCATACAGGCATATGAATTTTTTTAACGAAAATTAAGGATTCATTATTTTTATTACATTAAAAACAAGACCACTCTGTCAACTGATATATCTATGCATTATATATGATACCACAGCCATGACTTATTTGTCTTGATCAAAAATGAAGCAAAACATTCAGGTAGAAATACAGAATTTTCCTGGAAATAGTTTTCATCATCGAATAATGGAGAGTCAAGATTTAGTCCATTACCATGGAGAAACAAAAGGACAAAAGCAAAATAAAAAAGCCAAATTCTAAGCATCATTGATTAGCAAAGAGGACACCTGCAGAGGTACTCAAGCCACAATGTGGTTTTATCTCATAATGTGGCCTGAGGAGGGAGCAACACTTTCAAAGAGATAATATGGCTCCAAATTATCACAAATATATTCCAAAATCCATTCATTCCTTCAAATCAGTCTTTGCCGACATAATCATACTTGTACTAAAGAATAAATTTATGAGTTTATGGAGGAGGTAAAAAGACATTAGGAAGGAACATGTGTCCAGGTGACACAGCCTGATCACTTACCACCATGTCAGAACTTTTTCGATAGTTTATTCCAGAATAAATTAGCACCTTCTGGGCAAAGACTTGCAATCAATGATAGCAACTTTTTCATTAAAGAAAATTTATAACTTACTATAGAAGAATTCACTTATCTTTCAAAATAATACTTTGCTGCTTTCAGCATAGTTTCCTCAACAGAACTTTAGGTATTTAATCACTGCCTAACAAGTATCGTTTAAGTCTTGCTTAAGTCTGACACTGGACTCTTGCATAAGGATAAATATCATTTCTCTTAGAGAAATCTCTCCTATTGCTATGAGATCTCTTTTCTTTGTTAAAAATTCTCCAGGAATTTTTAAGCCAAGTTTTCTAGAGTTCTAATTGTGCCTTCGTAGTCTAACCTCTAGAAGGAAGGAATCACTGAGGGAAAACACAGATATGCACACACAGGTTTCTGATGCGTTCATCGTCATTCCTTCTACGTAATGTGGTATATGCTCTTCACATGGTGCTGGTTCACATTCTGGTCATAGAATTCCCTGATGTTAGATACCTCCTGATTTTGCACCATTATTAACTCCAGCATAAATCAAAGCATAATCCATACCTTTCCTATGTTCCAGGAAAAGTTCTGGAGTTTCTCTTCTCTTCTGCTTCTGTTCTTCTCTGAGTCTTATTTAAGTGGTGAAGAATAGAACTTCTTTTTCTGGGGATAAAGCATTCAGAGTCAGCTCTAACTAATACCACTATTAACCTTAAAAATAAGAAAATCAAATATAACCCTGTGGGCTAGTATTTTACATGTTTCCATCTATGGTTCTGATAGCAGCTGACATAATGGTTGGCACCACCACTATCTTATTGATACGTCTTAAAACCTTAGCAGTTCTGAAGATAAAACTTTATCTCATCATATTTGCTCACATCAAACAAGTTGTATCCAGTGATTCAGAGAGATAAAAGCAAGTACAAATCTTAATTTTCTGTATACCTGTAATGGGAAGTCAAGTATCACCTCACCAGGTTCTTCTTCCCTTTCATCTTCCAACTTGAAGCAAGGAAGGTGCCAGATGATAGATGTACTTGGGGATAATTATTCAATCAATTTACTCAAAATAGTACCAGATGGGAGCTAACTAGTTCAGTTGTATTTTCTGACTGTTCTCCATCAGCTAACAGAATACTTTTAAATTGAGTGGGAGAACAAGGGTTCAACAAGCTGTGTATTTAGTGTTTTGCTTTCCCTTAGACACTGTACTATCACACATATTGTATGCTACTGAACTTTACCAGATATTTATTACATATCAAGTTAATAATAAGGTGATTCTCTATGGTACATTTAGCAGAACTAGTAGTTTAGAAATACAGATTGTTCACTATTAGCTTCTTGCAATCTACAACGAATGAACTGCAGGTTTTTAGATCATGTCACCACAAACGCAGATCAGCTCTTTTCAATAAAATCTCTGTCTGAGAAGGTCACAGTCAAATAAATTACTAAATTCAATTCACTGACATCAGAAAAAAAGCAAGAGTATGACAAAATCAGGAGCAGTTAGCTAGCTAAACAGAAGTTAGGTGCCATGCTACTGTGTAGACTTGAGGCATAACTAAAAGTTAAGGCCTAGGTTATAGATACAATTTACTAATACTCTGTTCTGCAAGCCAGTGCATTGTGGGAATATTTTCAGGAATCTAATTCACAAAATACAGAATGCATATAGCTATCTGTTAAAATTACTGAAACTTTCAAATACTTAATTTGATGTTTAGCTTGGTAGGATAGTAACAGATTGCAAAAACATTTACACTAGAAGAAATTAATGCTGATTTGAAAAATAACAACAGGGTTTTATTATTTCACTTAAATTTAATATTTCAAACACTTACTAAGTCTAATAGTGATATAAAACAATAAGGTGTTCAGAATAAAATAAAAATAAGGCAGAAACAAGACAAGTCCATTTGCATTCAGGGTTTATCCAGACAAATATGCATTTTATGTAGATAAACAGTCTTCTATCATTATATATTTGTGTCTAAAATGGCTGTCTCTGAAAGGCTATGCTACCACAGTCATTCTTGACTGTGAATAAAAATATACTTCAGTTTTTCTCCATATGACTTTGCCTGATGTTCAAACATAAGGTGCAATTCAGCTGCACACTCCTCAGCTGTGAAGGGACTTTGCTGCCATTGCTGCAGGGAAAAATAAATTAGTTGCAAATTATATAGCTGTTAATAAACAGCTATAACCAACTGGTAAAAGGCAATCTTTTTTGGGGAAAAAAAAATCCTTTGAGAGTGTTTTTCATGTTGGATACAGACTATACAAGGCTACAGACTACCTTTCAGCAAGTGACCACAGCAGTGGGTGTGAGAATGACCTCTGTAGCATCACTGGCTTCTGAAGGCAGAGAACTGAAGCAATGAGAGGATGTTTAGGCTAATTAAAAGTTTGTTATTCTTGATCTGCTCTTTAAAACTTCTCCATATCTGGCTCTTGCAGAGAGAATATCTTCTCTTCTGTAAGACTCCACATTTGCTGTTCCAAAATGGTAGGTCAGATTCCTTCATCAGAATGTTTTTTTAAAAGCCTCCCTTATTAATCCTACCATATTCTCATTGCATATGCATTTATACTAAATCATGAGGTGAGACCACCCTTTCTTAGATACAAGCTAGTTCTTTATCCTTATTCCACTGACTGTGTCCCTTAACCCTGCTGTCAGTCACACAGGGTAAGACATGCAAACTGTGCAAATAAAAATTAAATAAATAAATATCTTCATGACTGTATTGAGGAAAAATCCAGATGTGTTCTAATTACTTCCTGGCCTCATGCACACTCTGAAAATCTCAGCAATGTGGCAGAGCATTACTAAAATTCACATTGCCCTTCAATTATATATGTGACATATAGAAATTATTATTATATATTATTATTCCCTTTCTCATTTGCTAAGACATACTGTATGCTACATCTCTTATGTCTTATCAAGCTGTCAATTCCTGCCTCCTCTCTGTCAGGTTCTCTTACCTGCTTAGGGGTGTCTCAAACATTCATTACAGCCTTTTCCACTTGGAAAACTGTCTAAGCAAGATAGAATAAAACCTTTTTCATTGTCCTTAAAATTCTCATTTGAACTCTATTTTGTCTGTGGGACCTATGCAGCTCTGAAAATGAGATTATCATTATCGCACTAATTGGTATTGGCACCTCAGAGTCCATCTCACTGTATCAACCTGTCTCTTCTCCCTAGTAAATCTTACATAGCAATCATCATCTCATCCATACTTGAAAAGCACCTTATGCACAAGATGTGAAATGTCATTGGCAGATTCTGCCAAAAAACTAAACAAGTTAATGAGAGAAGTTAGAGTTGGGAAAGGACTTAAAAAAAAAAAGGAAAGAAGCAGTACACCTGAAGCAAACAAAATATGAGACCAGGTAAGGGTAGGAATTGGAGTAAATATCTGATCAGTACGAGGAAACATTCTCCTCCATTTAAGTTGTAAAGACCATATAAGGAGAACTGTAAGAATGCCCTGTGGGCTTCAGATTTCCCCTTTACTACTTGTAACAGAGTTATTACTTGCTGGAACCCTTTGTTTCTGCTCCCAAAGATGACATTTCTGGGCACAGCATCTACTAATTCACTTTAACCTGAGCAGAAATAGATTTTTTTTTTCTTCTGGAAAGTTGGTCTGAATGCAACATAAAGGATGAAAAACTCCCTCAAACATTTCTGGATCAAGAAACTGGGGAAAGAAATAACCCAATTCAAGTCCCAGTTTTCCACTCCCACTTTGTTACAGTTTGATGTTGCTTTACTTTCCAAAGAAAGGTAATAGTCTTGGCATAAGAAACGGACAATAAAAAATGTATTCAATCCAAATGTTAGCTTCCTCAGTGCCAAATCCTCATTTAAGGAAACGTGTGCATGCTGGACTAAATTTTACTGCAGTTAAATCGGGGGAAATCTTCTTCTTAAGGCACACCACTCAGACTTCAAGCAATCTTTTGATTCACTGTGATGAACCTTGCTGCTCTACCTTGGAAGCAAAGTTTACCTCCTGATTGGAAACAGATAGCTTGGAAATTATATCAGACCAACGCATTTCATCATGCCTCAGAACTAGAACTGAGGCACCCAAAATCTTCAGGAACTCTTCAGAGTAGATCTCTAGATTTAAGTAATGCACATATAAAATCCTAAAGTTTCTAGCAGCAAAATCTAGAAGACTGATTTTTCAACTGAGAATATTTAGTATTATCACCTAAAAGCTAGTATTGCCAATGAGGAAAAACTCATTCTAGGCTAGGTGGTCCCCTTTACATCTCATTTGCCAGTTGCACTCTCACAGATAACCTATAAATATCCCTTTGTGATAGGATATTGATGAGTTAGATATTTCCAAATACATTCAACAGCCCAGTGATTAGTTTTGAATTTCTTCCCTAGAAAACTCTGCATGTTGAACTTCAATCCAGCACACCTCCATGTTAAGCTGAGGAACCTAACAACCAGAATCTTAATGATTCTTTTAGAAAGAACATTTCTAACAAAGAATAACGTCCTGCAGTGTTCGAATAAATAAATATTTATGGGCTAGAGGGAGAAGGGAAAAGTGACATACTGACACACAGGCTTACGGAATTGGCTAGGATACTCCTGCGAGTGTTCAGTTCAAATACCTGCTTCAATAAATATTTATTAATCTGTACAATTGGAACAACTTGGAAAACAATGGGTGTTTGCTGCAGAATACCTTGCCTATTAGATAGGACATTCCTCCAGGCTTACTGTGTCAAGGAACCAGAATAAACTATTTCTTGCTGCCTTAGGGTGCCATGGCATGAAGATGTGATGTAAAGACAATACTACACGAGAGCAGATTTCTCATCTCAGTTTCTCTGATGGAACTAAGTTCTTATCTGTCTTTGAGTAAATGGCCATAGGTCCTATTATTCTTTTCAGTATTTCTTCCTGTTTAGTTTATGTTATTCAGCTTTCAAATTTCTGTTGATTTTCTCTTGGGCAACTAACTGTCTCCAGACAAGATCATCTTATTGCACACAAGGATGACCACTCCAGGGTTGTAGTATTTTCAGTGTTAAAGTATCTAAATTATTTTCTAAATCTGACCCTACCTGTTTTGGTTAGAATGGGTATTAGTAATCAGAGATTTGTCTAATTAATCAAAAAAAAAAAAAAAGGCAAAAATAGGTTTATACCAGATATTCAGACAGCTTGTTTTATGCTATTGGAATCCTGCACCAATCCTAGCAGAATTACATCACTCTAGGAATTATTCAACCAGAAAAAAAGTAAAATCAGTTTTTGATTCCAAGTAAATCGAGCATGCATGAGGTTCTGGTCAGGTTTTTCAGTTCTTATTTGCTTCAAGTTCTAATGCTCTTGAGAAAAGAAAATTGAAAGGAAAACATGCCAAAACATACAGAAAAACATTACATAATGATACTGTCTATAGGTTAAAGACAGGAACATGTCTCCTTCACTCTTACTCTGTAGGCTCATACATGCTTCATGTAACTACTAGATTCACAACAACACAGACATATCTTAGTTTTGTTTTTAAAAAAATCAGATTTCTTTTTGCAATTCACCGCATTCATTATTTCCCTGCCACTATTACAGTGAAGGATCAGCGCCACCTACAGACAGGGATTAGAGTGGAGCCCAATTCAAAATGAAGGAAAATAAGCAAGCATCTAAAATTTTAAATCCTGGAATTTCTGTTTAAAACAATCCCTCAGTAAAAGAAAGAGCTGGCATCAAGATTCACAGAAATATTCAGATCTCTCTATCTGCTTACGCTTACTGATCACAGGCATTTCCTCAACAAGTCACTGCAAAAGATGAATTCTGGATGCTGCATTTGACTGTATCACATTTCCAAATGCATATCTGAATAAAGCAGAATACACTGCTGTCAGCTCCTTTTCTGTGCATCTAGTTAATTTTGGTTCGTTGCTATCTCAGTCAGTTCAATGGGGAAGAAGTCTTCCCCCTCAAATATGACTGCCAATTAGATTCTGGTTTAATGATCCAGATAAAATTAAAACCAACCCAACTTCTCACCCCAGACTAAACTACATTAAACTAAACCTAAAACTTCAGAAGAGATAACAGGAAGTCTGGCAGAGTAGAGCTCACTAATCAAGCTAGTTAAGTATTGTCAGTGGCATGGTTTGTCTTCTCTCTGGAGAAAGAAAGGGAGGAGCAGAGACAACTCAGTCTTGTTCTAGTCCAATCTCTTGAAACCCAAACCAGTTTGCCTACCCTTCCTGCCCCCTAAGCATATAAACACATGAACATGTACATGTGCAAACTAGAGTTACTGTGGTGGAAAGGCATTAAATAGTTACATATAATGAATTTTGTGTATGTGTGTGTGTAATAGAGGCTAATCTAGCACCATTGATACAGTACAGAATTCATCCATCTCACCAAGAGACCCGTGGTTATCGTAGCGCGAAGGCCTCAGTTCAGAGAGGAGCCGCTGCCATATGTGTGGAGAAACAAATGATGACTGCAGCCTTTGAAAGCCAGCATGTGCTAATTGCTGGTGTTGGATAGAAGAAACATCTAGTAACTAAATCATAGAATCATAGAATCATAGAATCATAGAATCATAGAATCGATTGGGTTGGAAAAGACCTCCGAGATCATTGAGTCCAACCCTTGGTCCAAATCCAGTCCATTTACTAGATCATGGCACTCAGTGCCACGTCCAATCTGCGTTTAAAAATCTCCAGGGATGGTGAATCCACCACCTCTCTGGGCAGCCCATTCCAATGCCTGATTACTCTCTCTGTAAAGAATTTTCTCCTGATATCCAACTTAAATTTCCCCTGGCGGAGCTTAAGCCCGTGCCCCCTTGTCCTATTGCTGAGTGCCTGAGAGAAGAGACCAACCCCCACCTGGCTAGAACTTCCCTTCAGGTAGTTATAGACGGTGATGAGGTCACCTCTGAGCCTCCTCTTCTCCAGGCTAAACAACCCCAGCTCCCTCAGCCTCTCCCCATAGGACTTATGCTCCAGTCCCTTCACCAGCCTTGTTGCTCTTCTCTGGACCCGCTCCAGCACCTCAATATCCTTCTGAACTGAGGGGCCCAGAACTGAACACAATACTCAAGGTGTGGCCTCACCAACGCAGAGTACAGGGGAAGGATCACTTCCCTGCTCCTGCTGGCCACGCTATTTTTGATACAGGACAAGATCCCATTGGCCTTCTTGGCCACCTGGGCACACTGTTGGCTCATGTTGAGCTTCCTGTCAATTAGTACCCCCAGGTCCCTTTCTGCCTGGCTGCTTTCCAGCCACTCTGTGCCCAGCCTGTAGCGCTGCAGGGGTTGTTGTGGCCAAAGTGCAGGACCCGGCACTTGGCTTTATTGAACTTCATCCCATTGGAATCAGCCCATCTCTCAAGTCTATCCAGATCCCTCTGCAGAGCCCTCCTGCCTTCCAGCAGGTCGACACTCCCTCCCAATCTGGTGTCATCAGCAAATTTGCTGATGATGGACTCAATCCCCTCATCTAAATCATCAATAAAGATGTTAAACAGGACTGGACCCAACACAGACCCCTGGGGAACACCACTGGTGACCGGCCGCCAGCTGGATGCAGCTCCATTCACCAGCACTCTCTGGGCCCGACCCTCCAGCCAGCTCCCAATCCAGGAGAGGATGCACTTGTCCAAGCCATGGGCTACCAGCTTTTCCAGGAGTATATTATGGGAGACAGTGTCAAAGGCCTTGCTCATGAGAATAAAGAAATCAAGCCTTTTGTTTCTTCTTCTTCTGTACATTTCCTGCATAACCTTGTTGCTAGTCTCTCAGAGACTAAGTTTTGCTATATGTTAAAGAGGGTTAGTAGTACTTACTTACCTGACAGATATGAGATTAGGTTAAACTAGCTAAAGTCCCAAGACTCTCATAGGGAGAATTCATTTGGAGAAGTAGTTATTAACTATTAGTTCTGTATTGGCATATTGCAGGCAAACTCAGCAGCTTTGGGGATTTTAAACGAGGAGAGTAGGAAGTCATTACTGACCTCTCCTTTTAAATCTTACTTCAAACTTTGACCTTCAGTTTCATATAATAGGACAAATGTTGTTTTATGAGTTGCCAAGAATTTCTCCCAAATTATTTATTGCCATCATTCATTATATCCAGAAACAGTCTGAGCACAAAAAGAATGAAGAAAAACAGGCTCAAAGATCTACAGTGTAGCACAGCAGACTGTTGAAAAAGTGATGAGATTCTGCTGCAGAAACCATGTTTTATGCACTTCCCTTTTATTTTTAATCTTCTCTTTGAGTAAAAAAATAAATAATTGACAGAACAAAATTTCTTAAAAATTGCATTATATTTTATGTATAATAAAAGCTAAAATTTCTAGTAATTTTATTTTGCAAAACTGCTAATTTTTTAGAGAGGTGCTTAACTGATAATAGCTCCCATAATCTTAGAGAATTTTTTTAATTCCTTAAGTGACTTTTGACATTCTGTTGATTCACATTAGTTGCAGTTGCAAAATACATAAAATATAGTTTGGCTGCCTTAAATTCAATCAGCATATCAGGAGGTTGCATTTTATAATTAAGATAGATGTTGTATACTTTCACAATTTAGTGAATTTAAAATCCAAAGATTATTAAATATCGTCATATCCATCTCACATAGCACAGTTAAATAAGCCAAACTGTCTTGTACTTTATAACTGGATCAAATTGATTTGAAATAGCAATTTCCTGAAGCTCTACAGAACTGATGTAAATCAATCATTCCAGATGAATGAAACTCACAACCTGCTCATCTATCTTACAGTATTGGAAAGTTCTTCATTAATTATCAACAGTGTCTGCTTTTGAAATATGCACTCTAATTTTTCTACATTTGAATGATACACTATTAGGAAAGAATTCCAAAACAAATCCGAGGTTCTTAAACAATATTTTAATTATGTAAGCAACCATATTATAACTAACTGTTCCTCAGCAGGGAGGAATGGGTTCCAGCTACAACAAAGTTCTACATTCTAACTTTCCCTGCCAACACATTACAAGGTTTGTACCAAACAATTATGTCACTGTCTCATTTTTTCCTCTGTATAGTAGAAAAAGTACTGTTTAGATCAAAGAGACATGATAGCATTTAAAGAGAAGTCATTATTTAGGTATATTGACTAAAACCACTAGAAATTGTAAGGATTGTTATTCAGGCCAAGTGTCACCACAGAATCGTGCATATAATATTTAGTAATCCTGAGTACTTTTGCATTTTTTGAACAACATATGTCATGGGAATGAGGGGGGCGAGGGGGGAAATGGTATGCTTCAGAATTGAACTAAATCTAAATTAAATAATAAGCTTTGTTCAAATGTTATAGGTCAGAAACGTTGCTAATACCAGAACCTTATTCAGCAGTTAGTGTTACATGAAGACATGACTGCTTATTTTACCCATTACAAAGTTTGTTAGGCATCTCTTTTTTCATCTTCTGCATCACATTTACTTTCAATCTGATACCCTCATTTATAATTCCATCTGCAGTTAGAAACTCTTTTTATGCAAGTTTTAATTATGTCAAGGTTTAGAAGCAGGAGTTTAAGTCAAATTTTCAAATTTTTTTTAATGGATATGTTTATTATTTATAGATATTTCTATACCTCTTGTCACAGTAGATTCTGTATGCCAGAAATTCAGTCTGCACTGTAATCCACTCCTGCATTCCCTCCCAGATTCTGCAAATAAATTCCTTTTGAGTTTTACTCTCTCATGAAGTTTTGTACATTTTGTTACAAAAGTTTAACTAAAACAATTACCATTAATACAAAAAGAGGAAGGCAACATAGAAACTCAGTCCTGAAACAAATTTCCTCTTTTTCAAGTGCAACAGTTTCTGCAGGGATGTTGACTGGACAAGGCAAGGTTGGTAAGAATCACTGCCATGTCTGGAGTCACACCCTGGCAGGTGCCTGTTAGGAGAAGATACCTCAGGTTACATCTAGGTTTAGAAGCAAGATGTGCCTGAGGCCATTCTTCAATGACACCAGCAGGCAGGAAACTGCCTGGCACATACAACTGAATGCTCTAACTCTCCAAAACGACTGCCTACAAACTGCTGACTGGGAAGGCTACCTGGTCAGGGCTACATCAGACCGGGTACCACTGGGTGCTTGTTGGTGGGAGCCACAGGCATTGTGGGGACCCCAGACCAGCTGTGACGTGGCAGAGAGTGCAGTGCCAGCAGGGGCTGGGCAAGATTCTTATCTGAAAAAAGACTCTTGAGGGCCAGAATGGGCCATGGCACAGGGTGCTCAGGAGCATCTCACCATGACCAGCAGTAGCCCCAAGACCCACAGACCATTTTCAGGGAGCAGGAGCTTACCACTGGTTCCCTGCACTGTTTCCCAGTGTGAATAAGTTTAGCCATGCAGACTGAAATCCAGCTTGCCAAAATGTTTTATCATGTCAATATTAGGCAAAAATTTATTTCAAGACAGACCATTTCAACGCATAATGGGTCAGACTGTTCAATGCATAAATCTCTTCATCTGTAAAATAAGATGTTAGTGATATTCTCTAATTAAAAAGACACACAAACTCTTAAAAAAGTAATATATCCCTAAAATTCTTCAAAAACAATCATCTTCACAACTAAGGAATCAGAAAATGGAGTAGCAAGTAGAAGTTAAGTTTAATCTTCACGTGCATTTGACAGGAAGGATGTAGGCACGGTAGATCTTGTCCTAGGACAAGAAGGTGGATTAATTAACAATTGAGGTGACTTCTGATTCTTTGACAGTATGTTAGGCTGCCCTGTCTCTCTGCAACATTTTAATTCTCTATGCAGATGAGGGCAAGTATTGGACTAATCACTTGATATTATCTGCATCCACATGTAAATGTAGGCAGAAAACTTTATGCAAAAAAAGTTAATGCAAAAGCAGTTATTGGCATTTTGAAAATATGACAGGTAGGTTCTGAATTTTTTTATGAAATAAAGAGTCCTTTCCCTTTGGCAAACATTTTTCTGAAGAACTTGCAATGCCAAGCAAAATTTCAACAGATCATAAGAGCATAACATGCTGTATATCTGTTGGGTAATGTGATCAAAAATCTCCTAGATATGTACCATCTGTGTTTAGGGCATTGAAAAGTTGTTTGAAAATTCAATTATTTGATTACAAAATATTTTTTTTGCTGAATTCCTCAAAACTGCTTTCAGAATTGAATAATACAAGCCTAGAAAATGGCTTGTATCCCTGGACTGATACATAATAGATGTTGATTCCTCACAAAGCAGACAATGAGCACTCTGTAGGACAGCAGAATAAATAGGAAAGAAGTTTGTCCTTTTTTTTAATATAGCACAGACATAACCATTTTATCTTCTATCTAGAAATATAATGAAAAATCCTATACAATCAGTTCAGAGAAAGAGTAAATGACTTTCCATTTGTTTTTCTGTTACAAATATCAGACTTTTCTTAATACCA